CTTGGACTATGGTATCTAAGAAGTGTAATCCAGAGAGGGCCTTTTTACAAGGCCATGTAGTGACAGGACAAGGGGTAATGGCTTTAAACTGAAACAGGATAGATTTACATTAGATCTTAGGATGAAATTCTTCATTGTGAGGGTGATGAGACACTGGAACAGACTGCCCAAAGAAGCTGTGGCTGCCCCACCCTTGGCAGTGTTCAAGGTCAGGTTGGATGGGGCTTTGAGCAACTTGGTCTGGTGGAAGATGTCCCTGCCCATGGCAGTGGGGAACTAGAGTTGGTTCCAACTCTAACCGTTCTATGATTCCATGAGTAACAGCTATCAGTCAAACTGTGGAAACACCAGTACCCTATCATGATACATACACATACACACGCAATCACATCCAGTCATATGCATACCTAGCTAAGAAGAAAAGTGTTCAAGTGGAATAAAAAGGACTCAGCAGAATTATCTAATTTGTGGAAAGTACAGCAGTTCTGAAAACCCTGGGACCTTTTCAGACTGCTAAGTGGAGGCAAGTCCAGCTCTATATCTACCAAGGTCCACTTCTCTTCAGTATGTTTATTATCCAGATTGACGCATGAAACTGACAACCATGACTCTCTTTTGTTTAGGATCATCCATTGTTGAATCGTTTTTCATTGCAGTCAAAGGGCCTGTTTGAACTTCTTAACTGTTCATCACACATAATTTGGAGTATTTAACATTATGTCAAGAAAATTGCCCACTGCTCCCCACTGTGGAAACCTATGGGAGCTCTATATCTTTAAACTAATTTTACTTAAAGTATTCCATTGAATAGCATGACTGTTTCACTATAATCAGTGCAGCAGTAATGTAATTAATCTCAAAATTGCTGCGGGGAGTACAAGGCATCTCAGTTGCTTGTCGTAACAATCTAAATTAGCGTATTACTGAAAGATGCTGGGGAACAGTTCATTTTAGGTAAATGCTGTCAGGGTATCCATCCTTTCTATTTCTAAAGATGAAATTAAAACTATCATCATAGTTCCCCTTTTGAAATCCAAATGAGTATGTTTTGAGGTGGGGAAAGTATAATTAAATTTGATATGGTATTCCTACAGATGCAATTTTGCATTTTATAATAATTAAATTTATTTGAATAAAAATTCATGTTTTATTTAGAAAAGAAAAACTGGTTTGGCTCAAAGCATGCTATTGTATCAGAACAATTCTCTTTTGTCACTGAAATCTCACAGATGGCTGCTTCTTTTTCTAAGCAAAAAATTATTCTTACTGGTTTACTTTTTGTACACCTATCCTTGTAACTGTTTTATTTAGACATCTTTTGACTGGGCATGCAACTCCTATAAGGTACAGCATATTTCAGACGGGAACATTAAAGAGTTAAATATAAAAGAGATTCCAATAATAAATGATTGATGATTATGATTCTGTGATTCTATGATTCCATAATAAATTGTAGAGAATAGCTGATGCAGGTGCCTGGAATCCCATACTTCAAGTTTTTTAACCCATCCCCTCTTCTTAGGAACTAAATCAAACACCAAATGAAATGAAAACCATTACCCTAATATAAAGGTTATGAAAGGTAATGAAAGTAGTAAATTGAAGCCAGTTCAGCCTGCTGTTCCCCATGGTGCCACAACACAAGAATAGGAAGTGTTTTCAGTTTGCTGAAAAAAATCAGTGGAGTAAAATTTTATTTTTTCAGGATTGAAGATTAATATTTCAACCATAGATAAGGGAAGAGATTAAGACTTTTGATAGGCAAAGAGTTGAAAGTACTTCTCCTGCTCAATGAATATACTCTCCAATGTTAAAATCACAAGACTACACATTTGTCAACAGTCTGAAAGAGAGTCAGATACTCCAATTAGATGTTGTATTTTCTCAGTGATGATCCAAAGCAGAACACAGAACAATCCAGACAGATTATCACCTAATCTGCTCTTTCAATATATATAAGAAATCAAAATCTAAGTACAACAAGCACTGAATAATTAAAGAAATGCATAACAGTAAAGGCCTGATTTTAATTTGCATAATTTTTCCCTTAATAGTGCCTAATTAAGACATCAGCTTAAAAAAAAAAAAATCCAACAGAACTCTAAGATTTTCTGCACTGAATTACCGTTAAGGACTTTTAATGGATGTCTTAATTAGACTTTGTTATTCATGGAAATTTTACACAAATTAAAATCAGGTCCTGCATGCAACATTCCCAGCTGAGTCTCAGCAAAAATGCTATATGGGACTGAAAGACTTTTAATCCATGCACAGATAGCAATTTGTATTCTAAAGCCAACATACTCCATTTTCACTTTTTTGGTTTAATTTGCATTAATATTGTAACTTACAAAAACCACATAGTTAGGATTTCTCCCTTCAAAATTAATTTTGATTTTATGGACACACTTTTTTTTTTTTTTTTTTAAGTATGCAAGAAGTCTTGTAGCTGGACAAGAGCAATAGCCCACGGGGACAATAACCACAGTGACCTTCTGACATCACAAAGTAGCTGTACCTGTTATTCACCACAGAAAGTTTGATTCAGTCTCAAGTTCTATTGTGGTTTTGCCCAAAACACATGCTGAAAGGCCAGTCATCGTTGGTGAAAAACAAAATAAAAGAAAGCACAAAACAAAATACTGTCACAGCAACCCTGTGTCTTACCCCTGATAAGACAGTCCTTCCTCTTCAGAACACGACAACCTGACCATTTCAAAAAACATGCTAAAGCACAAGCTACAGGGCTCCACAAAAGCCTTTCAGACAAAGCATCAAAAATAAATAACAGCCTAAGCAGCAAAGATTACATTACACTGATACTGGAAATACTCCAAGTATTGACAGACCAAGTCTCAACTGCAGTTTATCCTATAGTGCGGATCACATGCTAATGCTATGTGCTGATGCTATCATGGGAAGCAGTTTTGCAGACAGTCCTTCACAGACTACTTTGCTAATGGAAACCATGTTAATTTCCCATATCAGACACAAGTCTCTATCGGTGTAGCAGCCAGTCACCACATATTCTTTACAGAAGGAAGTAAAACAATTTTGTGGGTCTGTGCTGTGCTCTCTACAGTCATGTCTTTAGATCTGTGCGAAGAAATGTCAGGTGCCTAGAAAACCGGGCAAGCATTACCTTGCCAGAGTTTATTTTCACTGTCAGTCTATACATATACATATACATATACATATACATATACGTATACGTATACGTATACGTATACGTATACGTATATATGTCCATGCATGTGCAAGTGTACGCATGTGCATATCAGCGCACTCCTTCCTCCAGCCTACATTAGGAGCTTTGCCTCTGGCAGCCATGCAGGGCCACAGAGGGGCCCAGCCTGCAGGAGGGGTGAGAGACTAGGACCTTCCCTGTTAGTGCTGCTGGGTCATTCAGTACAAGTAATTTTCTGACAGAATAAGACTGTTCTGACAGAGGAACAACAAGTGGATATGCCCTTTATTCAACTGTGCTGAAAAAAAAGTTGCTGTATCTCTTATATGCCAGACCCCAGCTTGCTCTGAGACCAGAAGTAGTGAGACACTGGTCTAGATGCCCTGGAAGACACACATTCCTAATAGGATTTCTTTTGAAGGGTTCACATCGTTTTACAGTACCTGGCTAGTCTGTGGGCTGGACGGGTCGTAAGAAGGTACATAATTCTTCAGAGTATCCTGAGGATTCAGGTGGGGAGGATATCTGATCGTTGGATGAGAGAAGTAGCTAGATGGGGCAGGAGGGAGAATAGCTTGTGCTGGAAATGGCAATGGTGAAGGTGGAGGTGGAGTTCTAGTTGAGATGACTGGAGAAGATAAAATAAAATTAAAGTTACTTCGCATCTTGTTTCTTCTAACATTCTTCACCTCTTCGTTACAGCAAGAAAAATAAAAAGTCAGTTATAAATCAGTTCACCGCATTTATGTTTCATGGCATCTTTACAGAAAAACTTACATGTCCTTCCCTCATATCATCCCAGGCAATGCAAAGTGCTACTGTTTCAAGTTCATAAATAGTGTATCTTGGTTTAGTTTTGTGGGTTATGCCATTAAATATTTTCATTTTTTCTTTCAATGGTGATTATTCTCCAGCACAAAAGATATTTCAATTATACATTTTCCCATCTATAGCCAAAATAAACAAAATGTATTTTAGTAAGTAAAACCTACACTTTTATCCACAGCACTCCTGCAGAGGAGAGAAAAGTCACCAAGTCCTAAGAAGCAGTTAGTGATTCCTCACTTCATTGCACTCTTGCTGCCTCTTATGGGGACAGGGTAATAACTACTGATCAATAATACCATTAATATTAGCTGACCTTTGTGAAAATGCTAATGAACGTTAAACTTCAGAGCCTGGGAAACCAATCCATCCAATAAAAATAACACTGACAAACAAAAAACTTTCTATCCTATACATATTTTTCTTAGCACTCTCTTTCTTCCCAGCCCCTACAAACACACACTTCTCTACCTATATGTAATGTCTAAACCACCAGCAGTGTTTTCTCAGTGAAAGAAATGAGCAGCATGCCCTGCTGCTGCCCAGTTGCCCAGCTGGAAGTGTAGAGTGTCCTTCTGTCACACTGTACATCAACCTGGTTTTCACCCTCACTATACATCTAGAGAATATCTACTTGGCAACGTATTGAATTCAATGGAAATGGAGAAAAGACAACAGTGTTTTCATTTTCATTAGTGGGAGGATACAAAATCGGGTCTGTATAACTTATAAGCCAAGTATTTTATAAACTGCTCATGGTTCTATTCTGTACCAGCACAAGCACATCAAAACTGCTCTTCTGTACCTTTCACATCTTTGGGGGTTTTTTGAGCTTAATTTTCAAATGACTTGTTATTTTTGAGCTTGGGAAAACCATAGTTTTCCCAAGAAAAATCAACAATAAGAATGTTCCAAAATTGCTGTACCCAGTAATCGAAACCCTGCAAATCTCAAAACCATTCCTCACTGACATAACAGAAGAAGGTACATGTTAGAAATCAGGTTTCCTAGCAAGTAAATATCTCATCTATAAATTAGGTTCTGTCACTCAAATACATATATCTAAAAATTATACACTAAATCAAAGATAAAGATCTACTTATAAATATAGGGCCAAAAATAATTACAGAAGTCTCTTTTGTGACCAGCTCATTTTAACCACAGCCCCACCAGTTCGGTTTAATCATAAAATATTAGTTACTGCTCTGACACGTGGGAGGGAGCTGCACAAAGCAAACACAAGTGAGCAGAAATCTACCCCTTCCATTTCACCCATCATCTCAGATGTGCTTGAGTATTTGCTGATAGTGGAAACCTTACAGAGACCAGAATGGTTGCAGGCTCACATAATATGAACTAAGAGGATGTAAAGGGAAACATAGTCTTAAAAATGAACTGTGTAAAGAAAAAGTTCTTAGATCAGTCTTACTCCTCTAGTCACCCAGCTTTACTCAAGAATTGATACCTTTTATATTCAGCTTACATGGAGACAGGATGAGCAGCTGAGGAGAGACTTTCAAAGAGCATGGTCTCCTCTGAAGAATAAGGATTGCTCTTACCTCTAAAATTAAACAGACCATGATGCTGGAATTTTCCTGTCATTCCTGATAAACCCTCAAGATAACATGCATTCCATCACTTTTCAAGTGTCTTCTTCACACTTTAAGTGAAGTTTTATTACAGATTTACTATGGATTTCAGAAAACAGATGTTGAAAAATATTTATCAGGACTGTGCTTCTTTAGACAGAGCTTTCAGAAAAAGCACTAGTATTTCCTTGTGTCACATAGTAAGCATGGTTGTGACTTCTCTTGTGTATTAAATCCTACCTATTCTGTTACTTAAATACAACTCAGTTGTAGCAACATTATTAAAAAAAGATCTAGGCAAAAAGAGGAAAGACAGGGAGGATTTTTCCTCGATCAGCTTCTTCATGCAATCTACAGCTAATTTTATTCGCTGGTTAATCCTAAATCCTCTTCAGTGACTTGCAGCAATCAGACTACCTGAACTGATTTTAATGAGCATTGCTGCAAGTATATGCTGACCTCTTCCATTTCTACTCTTATCAGTATTATAAGCAGGACTAAGTATCTAAGAAAGTCTGCAAAAATGCATCACAATCTGATTGTAGGAAAGGATAACAGACCAAAGGAATAGGGAGGTATTTCTTCCCCCTCCATAACCCTCACCACTGTGTGCAACTCCTGGAATTCCTGGATGGTGATGCTGGGGAAAAGTGCTCAGTCTTGGTGAAGAATCCTGGGGAGAAGTAGGACTAAACAAAGGCTTTTCAGGTTTCTTCATTGTAGGAGAAGACATATCTGCAACAGAAAAAAATGGAACAGTGACATTAGCTTAGAAGTCTGTCTCAGGACAGATGATTTGTAAACCACAGATATTTTTTTTTCACTGTTCTTGCATAAATATTATTTGCTGAACCAACTCCCATATGACCAATATATTAATTTTAAATTATTGCTTTCAAACTTGAGAATGAATAATAATCCACTAACTGCTCTTCATCCTGCAAAACAGAAACTACATTCCTTTCATACCAGACAAGCCAAACAGTGAAGAAACGCATGTCTTCAGAACCTCCCTAAGCACTTCTCAGTGCCCCAGAACATCACCAAATCATCTGCTCCTTCAACAGCCACATAATATTTATTGTATTTTTTTAATGGAACACCTACACTCAGGTGTGTAGGGTAACTGCCATACACATGCTAGTTTATAGTATTTATTATTTTGTGATTTCAAAGCCCATCCCTTACCCTTCCCAAACTCATACTGAAACTTCCTGAAGATTAAAGGCTACTTCAAATTCTCTATCACATTTTTACCATGTTTCAAGTAAGGCTTTCCCACTGTTCCTTCCAGTTTCCCTATCCAAAAAAAAAAAAAATCTCTTTAGAGTTCACTGTGTGAAGATAACACACTAGTAGGGACAAATGTATGATTCCTAATATGCAGGGTTATTGATATTTCATAAAGCAAAAATACTTGATTCTTTCTGAAAGTTTGAACTAAATATATAACATTTGTTGGACATTTCACCAAGTGATTTAAAAGTACAGTATTTTATAGGACACCCATCAGTATCCTAAGTGGGTTCCATTTTAAATCAACGAGACCAGACTCATGTTTAAGGCAAAGGTAATTCCTTAAGCACTTTACTGGACTGGAGCCATGTTGCAGCTGACTTTCCTACACAGACCACGTTAGCCCTTGAAGTGGTTTTGGCACTTTCAATATTAGCACACCATATTGTGCTTTTCTTGGTGGACATACAATCATCTTAGGAGACAAAGACGCCTGCAAAATGTAAGCACCTTACTGAGACCAAATTGGACCAGTGCTTTCTGAACTGGCTGAATATTAAGAGTGGGTTTTCATCATGAAAGCCATACCTGGAGCAGGAACAGTCAAGTTGAGAGACCACTTGCCTGCTCTGCCGCATGCCATTATCAAGCCCTGCATAGGCACAGGCACCAGACCCAAAACAGACTCTGCCAGTGCCCCTCCATCATACTCGTGCAACTGCCCTGCTCCCCTCTGGTCCTCAGAGTAAGTCTGCTGATTTTCCAGAATCAAGGTTCAATTCTTCAAGAAGGCTGCTGAGAAAGGCTTTTATTCATCAGAACATTAAGCAAGAGCAAGGAATTGCTTTATAACACAGCAATTCAGTACTCATTCAGCTTTAACAGATGTAACAAAGGTTACTGCACACTTTTTATTATTCTGACATGTTGCAATATTATGTTGTTATCAAAACCACTTAATGTTGACAGAGGCACCTCTAGCTCTCTTAGAAAAATGTGGTAAATAAATTGTTGAGAAAGAAAATGGAGGATTATTTTGTTTCTTTGAATTTACCAGCAGGTAGCAAAGACAAAGTTGCCAAATGGTTAGTTTTGTTGAATACATTCAACTAAGCAAAAACATAATTTCTTAAATTGTAAGACTGGGGTTTTTTTAATGGATTTTTACATGGGCAAAAAATGATAGGACGGCATACTGATTCAAATATTTCAGTATGTTTTATTTTCTTCTGAAATGACAGCCCTAGCTTCCTCATATAAGGTCCTAGTTCCATCAAAGGAAGAAAGCTCTCACACCTCCACAACAGATGTAAGGTTTTATAAAAGCCTAGGACAAAATTAACCAACTATTGTCTTTAATCTGTGGTTCTGTGCATGCACAGTCTCAGCTTCTGCGGAAACACTGCAATGTTGCAGTTGAAAAAAAAAGAAGAGAAAGGTGTTTAATAGCTTATGAACATAGCCTCCCACTACAATGCTGTGGTCTTCAGTAGTTGTCACAGAACTTATCAGTGACCAAATAGCTTATTGACTCTACCACATATAAGCAATCACAAAAGAATGTACACTTTAATTTTATTTCAAGATAGAAATACTGTGCTTAAGTTTCTCTAAGGAAAATCTTTTCCTTATGTAAAGCTCATATTCAACAGAAGAACTCAAGAAAGAAAGAGCTGCCTAGCTCCTGAAGGTCTGCATGCATCAGCAGCTCTGATTTCTGGAATGCAACAGGGATTTAATTTGTTTGGTGACTGTTACTTCAATAAACAAGCAAAAGTTGTTGTGTTTTTCAAAATCAAAATATTTTAGTTGCTTGAAAGTATGCTATATGAAGTGTAACGTAATCAGATTACCCATTAACCCTCCAGGGGCATCACTAATTTGAAAAGAATTTACAGAAAAGGAGCTTGACAGGTATGATAACCCTTACATTTGCTTTAAAAAAGTGCAGTTTATTCCTGTTCCTATTTTATGGAAGTAAGAATTGTAGTTAACATGTAGAAAACTGGCAGCATAAATTATGAAGCAAATGCAGTTAACTTCTCATATAGAAGACTTTCCTCATCAAGGTGAATGCAACTGGTAGTCAGGAATAGAAACTACATCCCTGCTATAAAAACACTCGTAACTCACCAAAACAGCAACTTTAATGTATACTACTCAGCGCACTAAAATGAAATAATTTCAGAAGAAATCTTGTTACAGATAACATAGACAACTGCAAAGAATAATGGCTGAAGTACAGGCAGCAAATTCTTCTTTAAAACAATGCACTTTGCACTGAGAAGTAATTCAGATAGCCCCATCCCCCCCCAGCCTCCATGCCTCTCCCCATGTGTGCCTGGCCATCATAACAGAGCATTCATGCTCCTGCCATTGCCAAATAACAGATGCAGCGGACAGGGGAGACAGAACAATAACTGTTTGTATAGGTTAGGAGGGAAGGCTGCAGCCATGTCTTTCTTGACCAAGAGAGTAGGCTTAGAGATTTAATAGGAAAACACACAAGTTACATTTCTTCAGAGAATTACCAGTTACAAAAACAAAAAGTGGGGAAAAAGGAAAAAAAATGCAATGCAGTTTTTCACTGCCTCTAGTTTTGCTCACAAGAAACTGTGCCTTCAAATAAACCAGAATGAGTTAGTGTGACAGCGAGATCTCATGTTATTTTACTAGTAGTTTCTACATAATAGAAAACACACATTTTTCTTATTTTAAAAATCTTAGTTTTTCAACATCAGGAGATACAGTCTCGTAGCTACATAGAGCTTACTTATTACTGATAATTACATAATGAGTGACAAATAGAGGTCACAAAACCAGGCCACTTGCTCTTACACCTGTGACAAAATTTCAGGAATGAGATTCCAATTGTTATTACTTTGAGAATGAAAATAAAACTGTTTTAAGTGTGACTTATTTTTAAGCTTTTGGAAAAAATGTTAAGCACAGATGAAAAGCAGAAAGATGCCAAACCACTTAGACAAAATCATAAAAAGGTCAATGTTGATCAGACACTGTGTCCTGTCCTGCTGAGAATTTTCTTCAAATGTGGAAGAAGGTTTGTTTCTTTTTTAATTCACAGTGCTGTTCCAAATCACTCTTGTCTGTATCTGTATTTTCATATTACTGTGCAGATACAGTATGTATGCACCCAAACAGGTGGCATGATACACATTTTAAAGCATCAAATCAAAGAAAAAAAGGTTTATGCAAATAAAAAGAGTTAGATCATCTGCCTACATAGGAAAGCAGAAGAGCTGCTGTGAAGCATAGCGCATGTAACCTGTTCATCAGCAGCTTGCACAAATGGTGCTCCAGATGTATAGCTGTTTAAGACAGCCCAAGGCAACAATTTTGATCAATTCTAATGTGATAAAATGCTGCGGGAAAAGTGTGCAGAAACGTGTTTACATCAGCCTTTAATTAAACTGTTGTTCTCTTCCAAAGAACCTTAGGAAACACTAATGAGACATGAGTTTTGTCAATTTCCTTATCAAAGCAAAGACCCTCTTCTTCAGTCTGAAGCAGTTTGTCATCCAGGCAGTTCCCTGGATGAATGTCACCTTGGCACACCACTTGGCAAGCCACATGTTAGCAGAACTTGGTTAGAATTGAGCAGTGATCCAGGGCAATTTCAAACATCCACCTGCCTGCTTCCTGCCCACCACCACAACACAGCAGCTTCTCTTCCTTCCTCATGAGACATACTTATGAGCAGAGTAAGAAATCGTAAACAAATATTAAATCTTTTAATGCAGTTTATTATTTACCTCTTTTTATTAGTATGTTTTCTATTACTTAGTTTAAGAAAACTTTCTTTACAAGGTATGCTCCTGCAGACAACAATTTGTAAAGATTCATTCACAGGTCATTAGTGTAGCATCACCTCCAAGCTAAAAAAGCATTCAGCTTACTGTATACGTAACCCCTGTGAATGCAGGAAAGCTATGGAGTCCATAGCACTGCCAGCAATCTGTGAGAGGCATCCTTTCATTCTACAGTTTTAAATAATCTGCTCTTTTCCCAGAAACAGTACCTGGTGTAACCTGGTGACAGGATACACTACATACATCACATCCATCTGTGCCTCACTTTCCGCTGCCTCTAACACAGCTGATGGGTATGCTTGTGTGAAGCACGTGTGAAAACTTAAGTAAAACTTTAAATTCACATTGGATAGCTGGATGATGATGACGAATCGTGACAAATACCACCATGCTCAGGAGAACCAGTTTTGTTTTACACCTGTGCATGTGACAAATGAGCAGAGCCACTCTGCACAGGAAGAGCCAGCACACTAATTTTCAGATGTGTTCAGTCCAGTTTTCTTTAACCATGTAAGCATCCTGTATTTCTCAGGTCTTAATAAGGCACCTAACACTGAATATTGACAGCTGCGTGGCTCTAAAGCACAACCACCTCTCATTTGTAAGAAAAAGGCTTTGTTGTATCTGTCCTGAAGACTTGGCACTGAGGCTGAAAATCAAAACATTTTA